ATGCAACTGTAAATGGAACAATTTTGGATCTCTCCCCTCGTCTTTCTGTAGCTGTTCCTGACTTCAGAGGGATCCCTGAGAACCACAAATGGGACTCAGCCACTGGCAGTTGTAGCTCAGGAGGCAAACTTATTTATTAAAAATATTTTATACCACTTTACTCTTAGAACAGAAGGCCTTGCATCCCACCTAGACTTTCTGCAGGTTAGAGTGGGGCAGTTTTCACTTATTCCTCCTTCTGCGGGAGACTTCTGACCCCCCCCCAACTATTCATGGGGCTACCCCATCTCCAGGAGCAGCATTTCAAGGGATGCTGCAGGAGGGGGGAAATCAGTGAAAATTGTCCCCTCCCAGCCTTGGGAATTCTAGATAGGAACCAAGCCGAGACATCTCTCGGTTTGCACCAACAAAACACTGTATGAAATACTATGTGTCATACATATGTCAATAAATCTGCACAGAGCTGTCACACTTTAGTTCAGGGATGCAAAACACAGTCAACAATAAATGCAGCTCAAAACTCCACTTGCCAGTTTATGAAAGGCGCTGCAAAAGAGCTTTCTCTTGCATGCCTTTCTGACCTTAACAGAGAAAGAGTCCTCCAGGCTTGGTCAGGTAGACTGTTTCACAGGGCTAAGGTCACCCAATGAGTTTTCATCACAGTGTGTGTGTGTGGGGGGGATCCTAGTCTGACACTTGAAACACTACACTACCCTGTAAGTTCAAATCCAAAAGTTAGTCACTTACATTGCAAGAGCTTCTCCTGCACTTGTCTGTTCAGTAGAGGGGTGTGATTCTTCCTGGAATTACATGAGGCCACAACTCTCTGCAGATTTTCTGTTTGGACAAACTAGGAGCCCGCGGGTCCCCACGATGCATCCGAAATACCATCTTGTGGGAACTGTGTACTCACATGAACCATTCCAGGGACCCACGTGCACTGAATACATGTGGCTGGCAGGTTCCCAGTTCAAGGAACAGACCATCTGCTGAGCCCTCATGTCAAGTGGCTAGCCTGTGAGAAGAGGATGAAGGTGTGACTATTACAACGTTGAGCATATCTGGCTATACATCTCATTTAAGCCTCATATTTGATGGGGGCTATAGTATCTTCCACGTTCCCTTTGCTGCTTCCTTTGGGACCCTTGACTTAATCTCTTGTCAATCATGATACCCGTCAGCAATACGTAAAGCCATCTTACTTAGAATAGCTTAACGCTTCAAATTGGGTTTCTCGCTGAACTTCACGCAGAGCATATATTAAAAGTGCGCGCCTGGCATAAGGAGATCATTGCTGTCAAGCTGTTTTTCAGAATGCTGTAAGGCTATGCACAGAACAGATGTATTCTAATTAAGAATATTTTATTGGGAATGGTTGTGTTCCCCCCCCCCCCCCCCCCGACGAGACCATGAATGAGAGAAAAGGCAAATTGCTGGGCTTAATCTAATATCTAAGTGGGAAAATGCAAAATGGCATGGATCAAAAACAAACAGAGGTAGGTGCCTTGTGCATAATTAGACGGAGGAAAAATATATGACTGTTTGGAAAGCTTAGGAAGAATGCAGCAGTCTGATGAGAAAATAGATGCCTGGCTGAAGTAAACATTCTCCTCCTCCTCAACAAAGGGAATGCAGAGAAAGACTGGGTTTTCTGTTACTCTTCTGACAGAGGTCTAGGCTGCATGGACTCCAGGAAGAGGGCAAGAGCATTGGCCATGTTACGACATGAATCATACGTGTCCCTGAGGGCTATCTAGTCCCATCTTGCATGAGCTTCTTGGGGGGAAAATCAGTGGTCCCAACGGTCTACCAGGGTGCATTAAGGTTTACAAAGCATAATCTGAACTTCCGATCATTTAAGGCATAACTAATCAGCGTTAATGATCCTGAGTACACGCTCTTTCTTAAGAACTGACAAAGAATCTCGCTGCATCAGGCTGTGGGAAATCCAACACTAATCTCACTTAGCACCGATTAGTTCTAGTTTTAAGCTGAGTACAGATTCTTGCTTTATCCGTTTTATATGTATTATATACGAAAGGGGTTCTAATTGCATCTTTATTTCGTTGGATATTTATACCCTGCGTTTTTCCTCAGTGGGGACTCAAAGCTGCTTGCTACAGCATTTTCCCTTTCTCAGTTTCCCCCCCGCCCCTAAAAACAACCCTGTGAAGAAGGTTGGGCTGTAAGAGAGTGTGACTGGCCCTAGGTCCTCCAGCAAGCTTCCGCAGCAGATTGGAACCTGGGTTTCCCAGAGCCTAGTCTTGCACTCTGACCCCTACACCACACGGACTGGCCATGCAAAAACTTTCCCATGAAACCTTTGGCACAACCTTCCCAATCTCGTTACATTTAGAGAGCCAGTTTGGTGTAGTGGTTAAGTGCACGGACTCTAATCTGAGAGAACTAGGTTTGATTCCCCACTCCTCCACTTGCAGCTGCTGGATGACCTTGGGCAAACCGTTGTTCTCTCAGAGCTGTTCTCTCAAGAGCAGTTCTCTCAGAGCTCTCTCAGCCCCATCTGCTTCACAGGGTGTCTGTTGTGGGGAGGGGAAGGGAAAGGAGATTGTAAGCCGCTCTGAGACTCCGAGTGAAGGGCAGGGTATAAATCCAATCTCCTCCTCCTTCTCTCCCCCCTATCTCTTTCGACTGGCTTTCTCGAATACGCACAAGAAGTTGCCTTCTACTGAATCAGGCCTTTTGGTCCATCGAGATCACTTGTCTGCTCAGACAGGCAGCAGCTCTCCAGGATTGTAGGTAGAGGCCTTTCACATTACCTTCTGTCTTTCACATCATCTTTGTAACCAGGGCTTTTTTGTAGAAAAAGGCTTTCTCGAATACGCACAAGAAGTTGCCTTCTACTGAATCAGGCCTTTTGGTCCATCGAGATCACTTGTCTGCTCAGGCAGGCAGCAGCTCTCCAAGATTGTAGGTAGAGGCCTTTCACATCACCTACTGTCTTTCACATCACCTTTGTAACTAAAGAGGCCGGAGATTGAATCTGGGACCTTCTGTGTGCAAAGCAGAGCTTCTTCCACTGAGTCACAGCCCTTCCCCTAAATTCCTGTCTCTGTTGTGTTGCTGTTTTTTAGATTTTAAATTCCCTGGGGCAGGCACCTACTGCCTTTTTATAGGCTGGGAGGGAACACATGTATAAAAAAACTCCTGCCCCAGCATTCTTTGCAGGAAATCCATCAATTCTCAGACATAACCAATCTATCCGGAAATAGATCACAGCCAATGTTCCCTGTAAGCTGTGGAGTCCTTCCCCTAAATTCCTGTCTCTGTTGTGTTGCTGTTTTTTAGATTTTAAATTCCCTGGGGCAGGCACCTACTGCCTTTTTATAGGCTGGGAGGGAACACATGTATAAAAAAACTCCTGCCCCAGCATTCTTTGCAGGAAATCCATCAATTCTCAGACATAACCAATCTATCCGGAAATCACTAGATTACAGCCTACCTCCTACGCCTCCTGATCCAGTCTGGCATCTTGCTGAAAGGAGCCCACGATGAACTGGGGGTGAAGGATAAAAAAATGAGTTTGTGTTGATCATTCTTAGCTGTCCCTGTCCGATACCCTTAGCCTTGTGGGCTTTAGGAAGGCAGAACTGCAATAAATAAATAACTATACTTCCCTGTCCAATTAGGGAGGCTGAACCTTTTGGGAAGTCGTCAGGATACTAAGCGAATAAGGCAAGCCCGCGAATTTTTATGCATTTTTTCCCCAAGCAAATGGCGTAATTAGGTTTACATTATTTTTCTTCATGTTCTACACTGCTGATTAAATGTTTGAAGTTTTACATTATGAATAGACTCCAGGGCCTTTATAAGAGAGTCCACATACATTAAAACCAGTGCTCCCTCTAAGGTGTGGAGTCTTGTGAGCAAAAATTCTACATTATGAGCTAGTGGCATTACAGTTGTGAGCGAGTGATTTGGCTACTGCATAAATTAGTTCACTCTGGTAATTACTTTCCTAAGCTAAGACAAAAAATCTGTGAGCCGGAAGCTAAAAAACTGTGAGCTAGCTCACACTAACTCAGCTTAGAGGGAACATTGGACAACTAAAAAGAATTTTTAAAAGATCTGCAGATCAGAATTAATCAAGTTGGCCTGGAAAGAGAATTGTGGTGATCTTGAACTGTGTCCCCCAAAGTACGGCATTCATTCCTGCTGTTTGATGAGGTTCTTTGTTTTCTTAAAATCCATGCTTCAGATGGCCAGTTGCAAAGCCAAGCGTTAAAATGCTTCCAATCTGTGACATTCTGCCACCCTGAATGGGAGCCTCTTATGACTGAAGAAGTTTCACCTGACCCTGTGACATTGCAGTGACAACCAAAGATCACCTCTCAAATCTCACACTGTTTTACCGCTGTGTCTTTAGAAACAGTGTCCTGTCAAGCCCAAGCCGTCGGTTGCTTGCGTTAATTGTGTGGTTGAGTCAACTCTTGGCTATTTCAGCTTTTCAGAGCTTTATACTTCAGAAAATATTATACAGGAAAGCAATAGAACTCCAGAGCAGAAAACAACCATGGCTCATAGACGCTCACTTGCCTAATCTCTTTGAAAGTGAAACAGTTCTCATGAGGAGCTATAGGTGGTCAGTATTCACACACACACTCTCTACTAAAATACAGTCAATTTTTTTGTGAACTTCCATAAGGCAACAGAACACAACGTTATAAAATGTTACAAGATAATAGGGGCTGTGGCTCAATGGTAAAGCATCTGCCTGACATGCAGAAGGTCCCAGGTTCAATCCCTGGCATCCCCAAGGTAAAAGGATCATGTAGTAGGTGATGTGAAAGACCTGAGACTCAGAAAAGCCCCTGCCTGTCTGAGTAGACAATACTGACCTTGATGGACCAAGGGTCTGATTCAGCATAAGGCAGCTCCATGTGTTCATCAGAAGGTCCCAGGTTCAATCCCTGGCATCCCCAAGGTAAAAGGATCAGGTAGTAGGTAATGTGACAGACCTCCGCCTGAGAATTGTATTACAGATCCCTTCTACAATCAGGTCTATCCATCAGGATAAAATCCTAGCACTTAGACAGCAGACACAATTCTTGTGGGAGGCTTATTTTTCTTCAGTGGAGAAGATTGTATTGACCACACTAGAGGTGAGAAAAGCCCCTGCCTGTCTGAGTAGACAGTACTGACCTTGATGGACCAAGGGTCTGATTCAGCATAAGGCAGCTCCATGTGTTCATCAGAAGGTCCCAGGTTCAGTCCCCGGCATCTCCAAGGTAAAAGGATCAGGTAGTAGGTAATGTGACAGACCTCCGTCTGAGACTCAGAAAAGCCCCTGCCTGTCCGAGTAGACAGTACTGACCTTGATGGACCAAGGGTCTGATTCAAGCATAAGGCAGCTCCATCTGTTCATCAGCAGTCGTAAAAGGCTAGCAAACAGGACCTAATGCATGTCAATTAAAAGGATGGTGTGAATGAAAATGTCTTCAGTTTTTTTTCAGAATGTCTGGAAAGGGAAAGCTTGGGGAGTCTTCTGTGAATGGTGTTCTGTAACTCTACCGTGGAAAAGTGGGGCCACCACTTGGCCAAGAGGTTTTGTGAAAAGGTCTCCATGACATAAATATCAGATTCATTCATTCTGGAAAAGTGTGATTTTGGGGGAGAGGGGGGAGGACCCAGGCTCTTCAGTCAACAATGGGGTAGACATCCAGGATTAATGAGCAGCCTGTTTAATTCAGTTTCCAATTACTGCTATTACTGCCGCTGTCATCGAAACAGGGTGGTTATTGTGCCGCAAATGAGAGCCAAATGCACGATGCGCGGATCTATAAAACCTAAACTGATTGAGTTGTAAACAGATCATCTGGAAGAGCCCCCAGAAGTGTCTTTAATGTGCTCAGTCGGCAGTGTTTTCCTACCGCGTCTGAATTGTCTCAACATTGTATTACAGATCCCTTCTACAATCAGGTCTATCCATCAGGATAAAATCCTAGCACTTAGACAGCAGACACAGTTCTTGTGGGAGGCTTATTTTTCTTCAGTGGAGAAGATTGTATTGACCACACTAGAGGTGAGTAAATAATCTTGGATATTAGTCAGGGTTGTTCACTGTGCACCTTTGGCTTTTCAGACCTGTCGAGGAGTCATTGGGGGGGGGGATATCCCCTTGGGAAACATGTTCTTCATTACTGGGATCAGGGAAAGGTAAAAGTGACAGATGGGAACCCTGTCTAGCTTGCAGGGAGAAGTTGCCTCCTGTAGAAGAGTAGCTTTTGCGGGATTTACAGTGGAATGATCGGTACTCTTGCCATTCCTGGTAAATAGGTTGTTTTAAGGAATCTTTCTTGGACAAATCACTTTCTGAAGACACCATTTTGTAAAGCCTCCTAGTTTCGGGCGGGCTTTTTCTTTTTTTACCCCGAGGCGATTTGACGGCCTTGATGGGTCTCTGGGGAAAACAGTAGATTCAGGGCAGAAGCTATTTCAGATTCAAGGAGACGCTGACAGAAGACCCAGTGACAAAATCTATTATGAAATGGAACGGGTTGCCATGTTTTCAGAAGTGTTTCCATAGAGCCGTGACTAAGACACACACAGAGTGTCTTCCATCTGGTACATAGCAAATGTGATTCTGATATCATCTACAACTCATGGTTTGCGGATCCAAAACCAGCCTTTGAGGGAGGATACATTCTCCCTCCTCTCCACTTCTTCCTTATCCCGGAGGAATTCCATCCTTCTGGAGTAAATTCCTGCCCTCCTCTTCCTCCTTCCTGGCATTAACATTAGGGCTCATAACTACACTGTGGTTATAATGCTCCCGTGTTCCCTCATTGATCCGTTGACAAATGTGCCTCAAGCCATAGCTTCAAATTCTGGGTTTTTTGAGGGCACGATGGTTGGCATCAGTGCCCTAGAACCATGGTTCATGCTGCCGATGGAAAAGGAGGGCTGGGTTTGCTTTAACAAGGGAGTGTTCCTGAGGCACACTTCAAAGTGCAACACCTGGTTTGCAGGAAACAGCATGACACTGCGCCCCACTTTTCACACATGCACGCAGTGCAAGGGGGTGCATTTAGAAGAGCTCTTGTTTCTTTCTGCAACACACATATCCTGTATGTTCGAATCTACAGTTTTCTCTGGCAGTGTGGTCTGGAAGGGATGGAGGTAACTTGAGGTTGTACATGAAATGGTACCATCAGGGTAATCTATCTTTTTTCTTGCTTTCTTTTTTTGCCACTTGCCCAGTGCTTCCTAAGATGATTTAGAAGAGCTTGTGTGAATCCTTCTCCTCTGTCCCTGCCTCTAAAATGTGCTCTTGTCCAAAGCCCCGTGTTTCTTAGTTTAATTCAGACAGTGGGCTTCCGTGGCTTGGCACCGGGGTATCTGAAGGACCATCTTCTCCCACACGTTTCTGCCTGGGATTTAAGATTGCTGGGAGCTGCTCTCCTTTCTGTCCCGTCAGTTAAAGAAGTCTGGCAGGTACACAAGAGAGGGCCTTTTTTGTAGCGGCCCCGTGATTATTTATTAGATTAGATTTTTTTGTGTGTGTGACCACCCTTCCCTGCTTGCACAGGGCTCAGGACAGTTCACAACAATTTAGTTCAGTGCAGTGTAAAATAAGTTTATACCACATATTTAAAACATTCAGAATGTTTAAACATTTCAAAACATTTTAAAAACAAGATGGCCATGCAAAACATTTTAAAAACAAGATGGCCATGCAAAACATTTTAAAAACAAGATGGCCGTGCTAGCCTTCAGTCGTTGGGGGGGGGGGCAGGTAGATGTCAGGAACCATCACTGGGCTCAACCAAAGGAGCAAACCTCCTCACGGAAGTGGACCTGGCCGCCTCATTGTTGATCTTCGGGTGGCAGCTGAAGACAGTTTTATTGAGGACTGCATTTTGATTGATTTGGCTTTTATTATTGGCCGCCCTAACCAGAGTTTTTAATCTGTGACTTTTATGGGTTTTATAATTGTCCGTGTTTGTTTGTTTTTAATTATGTTTTCAAAAATGTTTGGCTTATATTGTAAGCCGCCTTGAGTTCTGCAAGGGAGAAAGGCGGCTAACACGTGTTTTAAAGAAATAGGCTTGAACAAGATGTGACGTTGTAGCCACTCCGGCCTGTTTTCTTTAGGTGGGCAACTCCCATGTTCAACCACAAAACCCAGTTCAGCATTGGATTGCTTTAGGACAGTTATTTGCATCCCCAATAATCCTGTATTCATGTTAGCAAGCCTACATGGCACTGTTTGGGGCAGAAATGTGCTTTTAAAAAAGACTGTTTTCAGCAGAGATATTTTTATATATATATATCTTAAAACACAAAATCTGTATTTAGCAAGGTATGCAGCAATTTTGCCTCTGCTTTGTATGATCCTTTGGGGAGCCATATAACTGTTCCCTTTTGACCTTTTATATATAGTCTCAGTTCTGGTCTCAAAGGCAGCAAGTGGTGTTTTCTTGACTAGAACAGCCATTAGTTAAATTTGGTCTAACGCTTAAGTCAAGTCCCAGGCCCATAAAGGAACAGGATCAGTGAGAATCCTCCGCTTGACCTGCAGCTGAAGATGCATATAATTGGGGGCCTCAGAAGCTGAGCTGTGTGTGTGTGTGTGTGTGTGTGCATTGCTATATTTCTGCCAAGAAACCATGCAGTGTATGAACTATATTGGGAAAATTTACCTTTCTGCACTTACAATTCACTTAGAATCATAGAATTGGAAGGGACCTCCAGAGTCATCTAGTCCAAGCCCCTTCACAATGCAGGAAATTCACAAATACCCCCAGTGACCCCTGTTCCATGCCCAGAAGATGACAAAAAACCAACAGGATCCCTGGCCAAACTAGCCTGGAGAAAACTTGCTTCCTGAACCCAAAGTGACAATGGGCATTTCCCTGGGCGTGTCAGAAAGGGCCACGAGAACTAAGCACTGAGGCAACCCTTCCTCCCTCTCATGATCTGCCTAAGTTCACAGAATCAGAGTTGCCCTCAGATGGTCATCTAGCCTCTGCTTAAAAACCTCCAAAGCAGGAGTGCCCACCACCTCCCAAGGAAGCCTGTTCCACTGAGGAACTGCTCTGTCACAAAGTTCTTCCTAATGTTTCGCCAAAAAGTCTTTTGATCTGATTCAGCCCATTGGTTCTGGTCCAACCATCCTCTATATGACAGTCTTTTAAATTACTTGAAGATGGTTATCATATCATATTAACCATATGACTTTTTGCCGTTGCTTTTTTCCTTTTTTTTTTTTTTTTTTGCTTTTTCTGGGCAGGTGAGAGCAGGGATGACGGCAAAGGGGCTTTTTCATCAGCTGACAATTAGTCACGAGCCAGTTTGGTGTAGTGGTTAAGTGTCTGGACTCTAATCTGGGAGAACCGGGTTTGATTCCCCACTCCTCCACTTGCACCTGCTGATGTGATCTTGGGTCAGTCACAAGCTCTGGCACAGCTGTCCTTGAAAAAGGGCAGTTTGTGACAGAGCTCTCTCAGCCCCACCCACCTTACAGGGTGTCTGTCGTGGGGAGGGGAAGGGAAAGGAGTTTGTAAGCGGCTCTGAGACACCTTTGGGTGGTGAAGGGCGGGGTATAAACCCAATCTCTTCTTCTTTTTCTATTTAATATATGGATTATTTTTAATGCTCTGCCTTTTCAGTAGCTTTGGGGCAGCGTACAAATTAAAATTAAAAAAAATACTAATTACAATAAAATCCCACATATCCCTTCCTACCCCCCCCCCTTTTTAAAAAAGGCCATGGCCTATGCCCCATTAAAAGCCCTCGCAAACAGAGTATCCCTGTAGCACCTCCGAAGAACTTCTGGACGTGGTGCCTCCCTCACCTCCTCCGGGAACACATTCTGTAGAATGGGAGCTATGACGGAAAAGGTAGGGCTGTAGCTGATGCCGGGTGGGCTGCCCCAAATGCACTTTCAGTCAGTCCACTTCCAGTGCACTTCAGCGATCCTTTGCAAGTGGATTTTGCCATTTCCACACCGTAAAATCCAGTTGGAAAGTGCATTCTTCAGCCCTGACCTGGATAGCCCAGGCAAGCCCGATCTCGCCTTGCATTCTGTCTTTCACATGAGTCTATTGAAGAAGGATCCTGGACCGTCTCCTTGGAGACCAGAGACTACTCCTCCTCCGCCTGTCATATTGGAAGGGGATGAACATTTTGAAATAGCTGATATCCTTGATTGTAAAGTGAAACGTGGTAAACTCTGGTACCTTATCGAATGGGTTGATTTCGGTCCCCAGCACCGCGAATGGGTGGAAGAAGGGGATATTCGGGCCCCTTACCTGATCCGTAGTTTCCACAGAAGGTTCCCGGACAAACCGGGAGGTCTCCCGCCCAGCCCGGGAGGTCTCCCGCCCAGGCCGGGAGGTGTGTTGTAAGTGTATTTTAAGGGGGGCAGTATGTCAGCAAGCTGCCATTCTGTTTTCTGTGACCTCTGTGTACATATCCTTTCCCTGTTACTCCCGTCTTGGCTTCTATCATCCTGCTCCTGCTTTGGAATGCAAAAGATAACTGCTGGAGGTTGTGTGGGGGAGAAGATGCTGTAATGCTTGCCTATTGATTTTCCCAGGACTACTGCACCTGTGTTTTGTCTGATGTTCTGCCTGGTTCTCATGTACTGGGCGCGCAACCGTTTCCTTAGCCCGCCAGCGGGAAAGATATTCATTGGATCTGTATCTGTTTGAAGTTCCTTTATTATGCTTGACCTAACTGTGTATCCCCAGTTCTAACAAAGAACGTGTTTGAGTATGTCTTCAACGCTTTGAAATAAATTTTGCTTTTCTTTAAAACGTGGATTTATTCTCGATGCTTGGGGATCCAACAGCGTGTTGAAGTGGTTAAGAGTGGTGACCTCTAATCTGGAGAACTGAGTTTGAGTCTGCACTTCTTCACATGAAGCCTGCTGGGTGACCTTGGGTCAGTCACTGTTTGCTCAGAACTCTCAGCCCCATCGACCTCCCAAGGTGCCTGTTGTGTGAGGAAAGGAAGGGAAGGAGATTGTAAGCCGCTCTGAGAATCCTCTAGAGAAAAGCAGGGTATGAAAACCAACTCTTCGTTTTCTTCTACCTGAAAATCCCAGAATCCATTTGTGTGTACTTACAGGGGCAAAAAAATCAGACAGCAGGTTGGATCCAGAACAAATTTTCAGATGGCAGAATGGAAGCTTCCTAGATAGAGGACTTCATAGAGGGAACAGTGCACTCGAGTCCCCCCCTGTAATTATCTCGGGGTATTTTTTGTTTCCACATTACATTGAGGTCACCACGGTTTTGCTCCACACACACGGATGCTGTTATAACCAGGGATAAATGCAAGGTATTGTGTCACAAGTTGAACTGTGATAAAACCAGGGTTGAGATCCAAGTGCGGAAAGGACCCATGACTTCCAGGCGCACGCACACACACAAACACAAAGTGCATTATTCAGTATGTGTGGAAGGGCCCTAAGGAACAAGTGGCAACCCAAAGACAGCAACTGGTGCACAGGAATGGACGGGAGGAGATGAGACAGCAACTGGTGCACAGGAATGGACGGGAAGAGATGGTCCTTTTACAAACAGGTTTGATTACTGGAAACCTGATGCCGCCTTCCTTCTGGATAATGAGCCGTCACCAGCCATTGGCTCCAGAATTTCAAGCACAATTTAGCAGCCATGAGGACTAGAAACCGGGAGGGAGGGGAGAGGGAGACCCTCATGGTTCTGAATCGTGTGCCGAGTACCGCAATCTGTGTTTTTCTTGGCTGCCTATTATGTGTGATTTTATGAACGGCTTTCCTTGAGCCAAAGATGCAGTGCCATCATTATTTTTTTTCCTTCCCTGCCATTTGTTTCTGGCTGTATCTTCCTGTATGTGTGTGTGTGTTTTGTTTGTGTGTGTGTGGATAGGAGGAGGGGTGGAGGTTAAAGACGTCATTACCCCCCCCCCCCTGAACTAACCATCCTCGTATAAAAATCTCGCACCGGCCTAATTATTTTATGCAGGATACGGCTGGCAAAAATCGCCGAACGGATTAATCAGCCTCGTAAACTGACATGCCGTTCTGAAAAGTCAAAACATAGTTTGACTTGAAACACAGAATCTAATAAGTTGCGGAGTTGCCAGCAGCAGCTAATGAGGTAGTTTGAATACCATTATGGGTGGCTTCTAACCCACAGGAAAGTGCTGAAGGATACAGGTTCAGCATCCTGTGTTTTTATTTTTTAAAAAAGACTGCTAAATAATCTGACTCTTCTTGGCTTTCACCAAAGGCACAGCAACTGCTGTCTTCAGCAGCCGTTGAACCGTCTCCCGTTTTTCATTAGAGACCTGCTTAAAATGGCTTTTATTTCTTCTTTTCCCCCCAGATTATTCAAGACAGAATCTTTAAGCACATATCACGCAACAGCTTAATATGGAATACACACCCCGGAGGGTTATTTGTACTGCCACAGTATTCATCATATCTAGGAGATTTTCCTTACTATTATGCTAATCTAGGTAAGGTGATTCTGTGTTTTTGACCTCAACAGTTGGGAGGCTGGAAATTCTGGAGGATGTATCAGAGGTGGCCCAGTACGCTGGCTCCCTATCAACGTGTTATTAACAAATTGGGAGTCAGCATTGGGAACCCGTGCTCCCTTCCTCTCTCCCCCCAGGCAGAGTAATTCCACCCCGCCACACCCCTGGCCTTCCTTCCCTTCTCAGCCTTAAACGTGGCTTTGCAGTAGATGTGCTTCAGTGCTATCTATAGTTCTCTCAGAGATGGATGCCAATGTTTGCAGTGGTTTTGCAGACTATGTTCCTGGGCAGACCTTACGTGCATTAAATGCAGTTTCTACTAGCAAAAATAACCCCTAGCTGGGAAGGGAGGGAGGAACTTGCTCCGGAGGAGGGAGGAGAATGAAGCACAAGTTCATGATCCTGAATCTCAGTTTCCCCTCTGTGGTTTGCAGGGAGAGAGCCAGAGTTACACCGGCATTAGGTTGTTGTGCTCCTTGCTGATATGCTATTACTGGTTCACAAAAGTAGCATCCTATATAGTACTTATAGTACATGAGGAATGCCATGGACTCCAGAGGGGATCATTTCTCTCTTTGGGGGCATCGCCTTATGTATCTATGCAAATGTTGGATTCTCCCACTCTTGGACCGACTTTATTTCCACACAACATTTATTTTTGCTCTCCTGGCCCTGCTTCTCACAGGCCTTTCGTGGCTGTGATGGGAGCTAAATTCAGATCTCTTGGAGCTACATTCAGATTATCAGACCTCCATATCTTCAGGCTGCTGTGTCGAGTGCCTGCATCTCACATCTTGTTGTCGGTATGGTGGAGGTAAAGGGTGTGTGTCCCCTCCACTGCCTCACCAAGGGGTTTGCTTGTTCTGAACAAACTAGAACTAAGGGAACTGGCTTGCAGTGTGGCTGAGATGACATGCTGGTCCAAGCCAGTGCCTAAAATCACAGACTAATCACAGAGTGGTAAAAAGGGGCCCTTGGAGCTGACTTCCTGCTGGCAAAGATGGACTCCTGGCCAGTCAATTGATCAGCCTCCCCAAACTGTTAAGAACATAAGAAGAGCCCTGCTGGATCAGTCCAGTGGGCCATCTAGTCCAGCATCCTGTCTGACACAGTCGCCAGCCAGTTCCTCTGGAAGTCCAACAAGAGGACTTTGGAGGCTGAGGCCTTCCTCTGATGTTGCCTCCTGGCAATAGTATTAAGAGGATTACTACCTCTGAATGTGGGAGTTCTGTGCCTATGGCTGTCACTACGTCCTCTGGCAGTGAATTCCACATTTTAATCATTCTTACAGCATGTCTATCAACTGACCACAGAATGAACCATTCCAGGTGGCTCCAGTAGCCAAGCCCTGCAGGGAAGTCATCAAAAAATGTTATCTTATCCTAGATGCCGGCAGTCCCTTTGTACCTAGGTTGATTGATGGTCCTTATCTTAAGGTTCTGTTTTTCCTGTTCCAGGTGTCAAGCCCCCATCCAAATTCACCGCCGTTATCCATGCAGTTACTCCTTTGGTTTCTCAGTCTCAACCCGTGCTGAAACTCCTGGTCGCTGTAGCCAAATCCCAGTACTGCGCCCAGGTGAGAAATGAGGCCCAGCTTCCAGGCGGTTGGCCGGGGCCACCGACTCCATGGTGGCAGTCGGTCATAATCATGTCTTAATCATCCAGTTTGACGTTTGCCTCTCGTTTAACAGTGATAGATGTTGGCGAGCTTTCAGTTCCCAGACTTTATTAAAGGAACCAAAATGTCATTTGTTTTACGTCTGCAAAGGGACGCTGATTGACTTTTATCACCAGAGGGCACAATCCAGTAAGTGCCAATCCATCGTGGGATGAATAATGGTTATGCAGGAGTGCTTCTGGGAGGAGCGCAACCAAGAGCGTGCCTGCAACATGACCAATATGCGTCAAGGGACGATGGTTGGCTTTCAGCCCGGTTGACGGTCTAGTCAAGAATTACTGTTTTTTAATTGGCGTACAAGGCATATTCATCAGAGCTGAGTACACAGGGTGCGTTAAAAAAATTCCATGCCCGGACAATCTGAATTCTGAACAGAGAAATGTGTGAATTCTGCGATCTGTAAATACTATTCAAATGGGACAACTCCGTATTATTGAATTTTGAATAAGCCTACAGCACTGTTTCAGTGGTCGTGGGGTTGAGCAAGGAGCTTTGTGAGATTCTGAAGCTCTAACCCCAAGAAACCTTGAGTCACCTCTCCGTCTTCTGAGGGGGGTGCTCGTTGAAACAGAGAGCTGGAGGGGATCCCAAGGGTCATCTAGTCCAACCCCCTCCATAATGCAGGAAATTCACAGCTACCTCCCACACACACACACCCCTCTTGGGTGACCTTTGCTCTGTGCTCAGAGGAAGTAAAAAAACCTCCAGGATCCCAGGCCCAATCTGGCCTGGATAAAAATTCCTTCCTGACCCTGGACATACAAGAAAGGGACACAGGAGCAGAGCGCTGGCTCATCCCTTCCTGCCCTCCCTCTCACAGTCTGTCTGAATAGTGAGTCGTGCATCTTCAGTTATAGTTTTGTAGCCCTAAGGACTAGCGACTTAAAGCACACAATCTTAGCAAGCGGGAAACTGTCCCCAGCTGGGGCCTGTGCGGCTGCTGGGTTCCGAGCTTCCAGAGTCACAGACGGCAGAGATTTCTGTGTTGTCAGTGGGTTGAGGGTGGAAGGGCTTTCCTTTTGCCTCCCCCAAAGTAAACTCATGAGATCCTCCCAGATGCTGCACAAATAGTATCTGACAATATAGACTAGGGGGTCCCCAACCTTTTTGAGACTGTGGGCCCCTTTGGGTCCCACAGTGTGGTGGGCACGGCCACAAAATGGCTGCCACAAGCGTACCGTCAGTCGTACCGTGAAGACCCTTGTGTTGTGCTGGCACAGTCAGTCAAATCTCTAATGGCCCCACCTACTTTCTAAAAACACCTAATGGGTGCCACGGCACCCATGCTGGTGGTGACCCCTGTTACTGACCTTTTTTTCCTTGTGGTCAGAATGATGAGAGTAATGTAAAATTAGTTGCATTCCTTTTCCTTGAAAGGAATTTGGCTCTCAGCCTGTAAAGTCCTCCTCCCAAATCCCGCTGTCTGTGCCCCCAGCTGCAGAGGTGTGGCAGGCAGCAACCAGAGACGGGGCTTTTTCAGTGGTGGCACCTTGCCTTTGGAATGCGCTCCCCCTTGAGGCTCGCCCAATAGCTACTTTACTGCCTTTTTAGGCAGCAGACCAAAATATTCATCCTTAACCAAGCATTTATCTGCAAGATTCCATTTTTAAGCCATTGTTAATCATTTGCTTCCGAATGTTTTTATGATCTTGTTTTATTGTTCTTTAGATCATTCTTAGGGTTGTGGTTTTTATGATTTTATGCTTGCTTGTTTTTTTGATCATGTGAGTTACCTCAAGCTCTGGACCGATAAAGTCTCCTAAACAAATACAACGTCCTGTAGCAGTAGAAAAGAGCAAGAATCCAGTAGCACCTTATAGACTAACAACATTCGTGGCAGGGTATGAGCTTTTGTGAGTCACTGCTCACTTCTTCAGATACTCATGCAAGCTCCTACCCTGCCACAAATGTTGTTAGTCTTTAAGGTGCTACTGGACTCTTGCTCTTTTCTTCTGCTATAGACAGACTAGCACAGCTACCCATCTTGATCTAACAACATCCTGTGTTTGACAGCAGAGGAGGAAGCTTTGTGCTCCGGCCAAGATCTTTCTGTAGGCCTGTTTGCCATGCCTGAGGGTTCTGCTTTTTTCTTCTTTTCAGATCATTGTCTTATGGAATTGTGATAAGCCCCTCCCTGCCAAGCACCGTTGGCCTGCCACTGCTGTGCCTGTCATTGTCATCGAAGGAGAGAGCAAGGTAGGTGAACACGCCTGGCCGTTGTATGTAAGGGCTCGGGAACTTCGGAAAACGTGTTTCCATTTCCGTTTCCCCACCTTGCTTTTAGTTAAGATGTGTCTCGCCCCACCTTTTCAAGAGCTCAAGGCAGTTTCCAAGCCAACATTAAAACACAAACAAAATGGACAGTGGGGGGGGGGAACCCCACAATACCTTCATCGTGAGCAAGCACTTCCTGCTTTTGTACAAGACCATATTGACTGAGGAAGGGGCCATAGCTTAGTGGCAGAGCATCTGCTTTGTGTGTGGAAGGTCCCAGTCCACAGGACTTCCAGCAGAAAGGATCAGGTGGTGGGTGATGTGAAGGACCTCTCCCTGAGGCCCTGGAGAGTCGCTTGACAGTCTGAATAGACAATACTGACCTTAGTTGCTGTGGATTTTCCGGGTTGTGTGGCCGTGGTCTTGGCATTGTAGAACCTGACGTTTTGCCAGTAGCTGTGACTGGCATCCTCAGAGGTATAACACGGAAAGATGGAGTACTCTCTGTGTCAATACCTCTGAGGATGCCAGTCACAGTTACTGGCAAAACGTCAGGTTCTACAGTGCCAAGACCACGGCCACACAACCTGGAAAATCTACAGCAACTAATGAACTCCGGCCGTGAAAGCCTTCGACAAAATACTGACCTTGTTGGACCAAGCGTCTGAGCCAGTATAAAAGAGCTTCATGGGTGTTCATTGGCATCTTCCCTCCCCTCCCCCTTTAATTTAAGCAACTGTTATAACATGGCAAAGAGAATGAACTATGATCTGCTGGGATTAGGGATGCCAACCTCCAGGTTGGACCTGGGGATCCCCGGAATTACAGCTCATCTCCAAACTTATAGAGATCAGTTCCCCTGGTGGAAATGGATGCTTTGGAGGGTAGGCTGTATGGCATTATAACCCACTAAGGTCCCCGTCCTCACCAGCCTCCATCCCAAAATCTCCAGGAGTTTCCCAACCTGGATCTGGTAACCCTGCCCCCCATCCCTCACTGGTGGCCGGGGGGAACCTGGAAACCTGAACCTCGAGCCATTCAGCTTTTGAGTTACCGGTCTGCAATGCAGGAATAATAATACTGCCTTACGGAGTTGTTGTCAAAGATTGGTATAATAATGTATGTGAAGCACATTAAACACTTAAGCCATAATACCAATGCTAAATATTTTCATATGTCCAGTAGCCAAGGAATCACCTTCCTGGGGTAGGGGGAACATCCAGGGAGTTTGCCATCCAGGACTTGGATGTGTATTTCTGCAAATCTGGAAATAAACCCAACAGATGAATAGTGCAGTCCTTAGCAGAGCTATACCCTTTGAAGTCGATGGGTTTAGAAGGGTGTTACTCTGCTTATGAATTCACTGTAAAATATTAAATACCAGTATAAAGATTTTAAAAATCTATAGCAGCCATCGGATTAAAATTACAGCAGCATAAAGTAATTAATAGATTAAAAAATAAACACTCCTGTTTCATAAAAGGAATCTAAAAAGAAATTCACATAGTAGATAAATCTATTTAAGAAAGAAAGGCTGGGAAAAGGCAGGAACGCTTCTTTGCTTCTCAGTGAGAAATCCCTGCCAGGCTTCTGAGGAACACCAATGTTCTCCAGAACGTAGTATGAGAACAGTGAATCTTTATCACTATTTCTTCTTTTTTAAATTGAATTCTTTATTTAACATCATTTTTATAACAGATTAACATTCCGAATACTGGTGAGAGCTTCTCAAGATTGACAATTAGTTGTGCGTTTAAAGCAAGCCATTACATTCAAGTATCATTAACTTAATGAGAGCCAGTTTGATGTAGTGGTTAAGTGTGCAGACTCTAATCTGGGAGAACCGGGTTTGATTCCCCACTCCTCCACTTGCACCTGGCTGGATGACCTTGGGTAAGCCGTAGTTCTGACAAGAGCTGTTCTTGAAAAAGAGGCGTTTCTGTCAAAGCTCTCTCAGCCCCACCTACCTCACAGGGTGTCTGTTGTGGGGAGGGGAAGGGAAAGGAGTTTGTAAGCCGCTCTGAGACACCTTTGGATAGTGAAGGGCGGGGTATAAATCCAATCTCTTCTCTTCTTCTTCTTCTCTTAACACCACCAGTCTGTTCTAATAATTAGACAAGCTTAAAAGAGTAACAGGTCACGACAATACAAATTATTTGGTACTACCTTTCCCCTACCCAAGTGTTCTACCACTAGGAACCAGACAGCTTGAAAGGTTTTTTGGTAACTTTCCAAGTTGGGCATTAAGGATTGACTTGTAATTTTACCATAAATATGGTAGGCCCTGCATGGATAACGTAAGTTGCACTAAAAATCCACCAGTGGAGAAAGTAGAGGTCCCCACATACCCCAGGCCTGACGAGGACTGAATATGCTTTAGGAAGTCCAGCATGTTAAGAGCAGCTGAGAGTCAGTTATTTGGGGGGGAGGGGTTTCCAGTGGAATTTAGACTGTTCTAGCCCCTGATGTGGATGGTCCAGACCAGTGTTCCCTCTAAGCTGAGTTAGTGTGAGCTAGCTCACAGGTTTTTTAGCCTCCAGCTCACACATTTTTGTCTTCGCTCAGGAAGGATAGTTTCAGAGCAAACTAATTTACGCAGTATCCAAATCACTTGCTCACAACTTTAATGCCAGTAGCTCACAAAGTAGAATGTTTGCTCACAAGACTCCACAGCGTAGAGGGAGCATTAGCCCAGACTACTCCAATCTTGTCAGATCCGGGATACTAAGCAGTCGGCCCTGGGTAGTAAGGATGGGAGGCCACCAAGGAATTCTAGGTTTGCTTTCCGAGGCAGGCAGTGGCAAAACTACCTCTGTTCATCTCTTGTCTTGAAAAGTCTATAGAGTTGCCATAAGTCAGCTGCACCTTGACAGTACTTTTTCCAACACCAGCCCTGAAAGCTTAGAGAATCGTAGAGGAGGAGATTTCAGGGTGCAATTTTCAAATTCCGCCCCCCCCCATTCTCACGGCACACCAGGTTTGTATTATTATTATTATTATTATTATTATTATTAT